TCGCTGGCCACAGTCAGGACATGTTCATTAATCAGACCCATCGTTTTCCCGCTAAAGCCCTTCACTTTAATGTTGCCACCCCGTGCAACTTAATGCTTCAAGACTACGCAATCCGGCCAGTGGTGAACATCGGCGCAAAATTCATTAAGGCCCTTGGACATCTCCTCCCTAAGGGTCATTCAATTAGTTGAAGTCATTTCGGCTTGGAATAAGTATGGTCATTAGACGGGCCATTGTTAACTGCCTCACTTTGGACCGAAGGAAAAGGGTTTCAGCGCAGTTCGTAGCTTCTGAGGTGGAATCCTGAATTAGCAGGATGACTCTGGGAAAAGGAATGGGGAGACTGCTGAGGAAATGGATTTCCTAATACTATTTGCCCCTCTGTAATGACAGCTTTGAGGTTTGTGTTGTGAGAGAGTTGATGGGGCTTATGCATGGGTCTTTTGTACGGACCTGTTGGGAGATGGGATTAGATTTTCTGCAACCTTCTAATTGCTGAAGTTTCATTATCAGGAATGAAGACAATTGTTCGTTACTTACGAAGTGGATTAACCATTGTTTTGTTAAAATGTCATTTTTATAAATTCTTCATACAAGTGCTAATTTTGAGGAGTTTTATTTGCCTTGACAAAATGCTTAATTTTTTTTTATATCAGAAAGGAAGGTAATTGTACGTGAATTATGAAGTAAGTATCAAAAGTAATGCTGAATGTTTGAAATATACCCATAAAAAAATTTTTTTTGGAGTTTTTTTAATAAAAGTTTATTTTGAGAAAATCATCAAGTAAATACTTTTCGTTAAGTAAATATATCTGATTCTGAAGTTTCATCAACAGAAATTAAATAAAAAAATATTTATGCTATTTTATTCGTGTGGATCACCTAGCGCTTTATATATCGTGGAGAATTAGGAAGTTCGATTTTCACATTTCTTATAAAAATTGCAGAACTGATCTGCAATCAGAATTGATCAGGAAGTGCAACAGATTTGGCAGCTTTGTTTGGACATCGCCAACGAGCAACGTTGAGCTTGAGCTCAGGACGCAATACAAATGTCATGTATAACACATTTTCAATAAGAAATTTCTTATTTATTGAAATTTAAAGCATTTTTTTTTCACATTTTCTGAAATTTCAACCAGAATTTTCTAAAATTTCAACAAGAAATGCTGACAAACAAACATGAGATTTACTTTTATAATTTTAAGCAACTATTAACTAACTCACGTGAAAAGTAATTGCAAATGCAAATTTTTTTTGTTAGCTTGAAACTTTCACATTAACTAGTCAAACTATTACAAACGCAAATAAAATTAGTATACTTTATTAGGTGATGTTGTTACCTTCTAAACTAACTGAACGGAAATAAACATCACTTAAAAATTCGAACTGAAATAGAATGTACTTCTTGTAGTTAGTTCTACAACGAAATGCGACGAGGTTTATAGTTATGAAAAGAATTAAGAAGTGAATCATAGAAAGTTCTTCGTAAAAGGCCATATAAAGCAAAATGGACGAGTTCACACGTATTTTTTTCTCACAAAAATCATCATTCGTCAGATCGTAAGGAATAAACAAGAAAAACACTTATTCAAATTTTACCTGCAAAACTTCCGGGAGAAAACATTTTTTAAAGAAAAACCATCTATATCCTCCCAAGAAATAAAAACAATGCACCAATAAAAAAACAGGCCGAATAAAAAGAAAATATATGTATGAAATCACATTTGTATATATAACCGCACCTTTGTCTCAAAAAGTCTCTTCTAAAACAGAGATTTTCTCAGTGGTTGGGGGGGAAGGGCGTCGTGATTTAGTAGCGGTCGTTTTTATGATTGCACGCAACTCAAAATCGTGATTTCGGCGAAAGTTGACATCTCGATTCTAGGTACTTTCGATCTTTTATTTATTTATTTTTTTATGTACACAACCTCGTGAAATTAGGGGTGGAGGAAGGGAGAAATATAGACATTTCTTTCCAGACCCCTTTAGCCATGGCCGTGAACAGAGAACTCTCTTCTAAGATGTCCGTCCGTGACCGAATAGACCGTGTGTGTGACCGCAAAATCGTCTGCCGCCTTTTTGATTCGATTTGTTTGTTCTTCCACAGAAACAGCAAAAGAACTCTCACTCGCGTTTCAACTGCTTATGTTTGTTCGTGAATTTGGTGCGCGTGCGAGTATGAGCAAGCGATATTGTATCTGGAAAGTTGTTGATAAATAAAATCGTTTGGCACGGAGTGAAAGCTGTCAACGTTAACGTTAGTTTCGATCGATTTTGACAACAAGAATTAATCGAATAAATTTTTAAGGTGTTTTGAAATAGCGATGATTTCACTGAATCACTTTATTTTCTTGAGACAAAAAAAAATAATTAAGAATAGTTTTGGAATTGGGTAAAATCTCTATAAAAATAAATAATAAAAAACGTTAACAAAATTAATCGAAATAGCTAATATTTATTTGAAATTGTAATTCAAAGCTCCCTGTTCTATTTAACCATTTTCAATAGAATCTTTAATAAAATATTTAAACATGATTACAGAAACAATCATACAGTAAGCAAAAAACGAAGTCTCGTTAAATCATGTATATGTATTAATTATTTAATGCAATTAGACACAAAAATATACTGTTAGATTACTTCAGTGTTAGTTTACTAAGTTCTGGTTAGATTACTTCAGAACAAAAAGAATTATAGCCACTGTTTTTACGCATGGAGTTTGCAACATTCAAAAACGTTTTACAAACAATGATAAAAATTAATTGATTCTAAGGTTTTACTTAATTTCCATAAAAATATTTTTAATGTTATTTTATATAAAAATTAAATTTTTCATTTTAATGTATTTACATCTTATTTAAGAATTATTGCTTTCAACTTTCTTAATATTTTAACTTTTTGTAGTCCTAAAGTAATACTCAGCTACCGAAAAACTTGCACAGAGGATTAATTAACAACACATGGCTGTATATTATTTTAAGTTACAACTTAATAAATTATTAGTTAAAAGACTAGGTTCGTATAAATAATTAGTTAAATTATTATTTTAAGTCGAAACAATTTTTTAGATGATCTAACTCTATTTTTTTTATCTTTCCATTCAAAAACAATCAATTTTTTAAATTGAAACTGAAAGGTATAAAAATATCCTTAGGCGTCCGTTATCCATATTGTCATCATATTTTTTATTTATTTTTACCATAGACTTTGAAATCGTTAAGCCTATTTCTTTCAAAACGCAGATATATATATATATATATATATTACAGGGCAAGAAGAAAATCTTTCAAATTTTTATATGCCACTGTATGCTCTGTTACCAATGTATATTAACACGTTTTAAATATCGAGAAATAAAGAACTACAAACAATAAGATTTTACGAACAACTAACTTTTTAAACAAAATTGTGGTAATCATTGCACTGTATATCATCTTATCTATATATCCACTTATTCTATTGCAATAAATCACAAATTTCTTGCGTCAAAATGTAAAATGTATTTTCAACTGATTTTAAAAATAACCTATTCTATTTAATCTAATAAAAGAGCTATCAATAATTTAAAAGCTAGTTCACAGTCGGTAACTTCATATTTCATCCTTTCAATAAAGCCTAATTTTATTTTAATATAATTTTACCTTTTAAAAGCCGAACCGTCTCGTTCAATGGCGGAAAGTGATTCGTTACGCCTCAATTTCTCTTCTCGGCGGCGCAGCATTTCGTAAAGCGATCGGTTAGGAACGAATCATTCGGCTGAAAATTATGGGCCATAAGAGAAGAATAGCACAGAGGAGGAAAAATCAATATCCGGAGAGAGAGGCCGGTGCATTGTTTTGGGACTTAATTCTGGACGTGGACTGTTCAAAATGTTTTCCAAACTGTAGCCAATAAATTTTTGGACAAGCAAGTTTGGAATAGAATTGCTCTGACTATATATTTATATAGAAACTATGCAAATTTTTAAGATTAACTGTTCGATTAACACTGCTTCAATATTAAAGTATTAAATAATGAGTATATTCATATAAGACTTCTGCTCCGGTATAAATACAAACATTGCTGTAAAATATTAACAGTTATTAATACAAAATTGGTTCAGTTAGAAAGCAAAACTTTTAGCTAATGTGTTTAACTAAAACTGATTAAGTGGGAAATAAAAAATTATTTTATGATAAGTAGTCATAAGGGAGCATAATATTGAACAGTTTTGTTTTAATTATCATAACTTTGCTTTTGTGGTTAATAAATAAACGTAACATATCAGTATTATTTTTTTTATCACCTTCAAACGATTTGCATACGATAGCGAACGTAATATAATTTTGGTAAATGCTGTAATTTCACATTAAAATGTTTAAAAAAAAAAACTAGTAAATGTTACTATTTAGACAAGCTAAAATTCGAATTTAAAAATCTTTAACTTTCGGAACTTGATTAGGCTACCTCCTTCCTCACAATCTTTTCATTCGATTTCTGAAGAATGGCAACTTTTAAAGGAGCAGAATTTTTTTTTTACAAGAACAGAAAACAAATAAGACATTGGGCATGTTACATTCTATAATTTAACAAAAGTCAGACTATTTTGTTTTAAAAAATTACGTTGGAGATTTAGAATCAGATCAAGTTTGAGCCAAACGAGGGATAAATATAGAATATCATGATTACGATGAATTTATTCACTATATATATATATTGGTGGGCCTTACACTATTGCATTGATATATTTTGCTTTCGATATATTAATACAATATTAGAAAGCACTCTACTTTGCGCAAATAATCGTGCGAGCTGATGACGAGATTATATCTTTTCCTTATTTTGTCTTACAAATTTTTAATTTAAATTTAATTTTTTTAAACAAAAATTACTTTATAAACAATGTTTTTTTCTTCCCTTTAGAAGGAATATTTTTTCCCCTTATTTTCTTTGCATTTTTAACTTGATATGCATAAATACAATATAATCTCCAATTACCATTAACAATTGTAACTTACCTTCCAGTTTTGGTAATAATCATTTCTGTTCCGAGTTCGTGAAACTTGTCCCAGAGATCTTTATTTTCCAAAAGACAGTCGACGCCTTGTAAGGATTCGCTATTGCACCGGGGCTTGGACAAACCGGCATAAGGATTGTTAGCTGACCGGGAAGAACTGCTGCCCGATCCCTGCTGTTGACCATTGCTTGCCGGTCGGGGTGATTCCCCCTCCCTGCTGCCTCCTTCCCCTTCTCCTGCCTCCGAGCTGGGGCGGGATGAACCCGGCCGGGGCGAAGGGCTCATCGTTTCTTCCAAGTCCGAAGAAACAGAGGAACGGGGTGACACTATACCGGAATCTGGTTGCTGAGATGGTAAGGATTTTAACCGGGAGGGTTGAGGTGGTACATAGCAGGAACGAGGATCTGATTCACCATTACTCGTGTGTTGTTGACTGTCAAAGCCTGCAATGAAAATTTAAAAAAAATTAGTCTGATTGAATTAACGTAATGGTCATTAATATTCATTTAAATACAAAAACAAAACATTTTATTTCAGTAAAATGAATGAAATAAATCACGTTTTTTTCGTGAAATTCGAAACACAGAAAAAAGTAACAACTTTAAAAAATTATAAGAATTAAAGACAATAAATGTTGACATTTTTTTTAGTTTTATCGCTGATCTCTGGTATTAACACTTAACTCTTGCCATAATCGAAAATACTTTATAAGGATAGTATTTTTTTATTATAGATTTACAACTGAAAAAAAGGAAAGTGAATCCAAAATCCCGAGTTTTAAAGAAACTGGAACAAGAAGAAAAAAAAGACTTCAAGTGGTACAAAGAAGATGCTTTGATTTTTTTAAAAATTATGTCTTTTTTCTCTCTCTCTCTCTCTCTCTCTCTGGCCTGATTATTCCTTTATTTTAAATTTTGCTTGAAACATTAAAAATAAACTTAATATCAATTATGGATGTTGTTTTTCCTCCTATGCAAGTGCTCAAATCAGATATTCAATGTATGCGTACATATAAGACAGATCAAAATATAAGTTTGTAAGCAAGGTTCTAAAAATAGCCCAAAAAGATGTTAGAGTAATTTTTGAATGGCCCCTACTTTATATTAATTAAATTTCACACGTAAGAAATTTTATGCAATAAACAAATCAAGTTGCTCGGAATAAACAACACTTTTCAGTAAATTTGATGGATTACAGCATGTCCCATAATTTAATGTTTACATCACGATGAGCCATTATGACGAAATGTTTTTAGCATTCTGTTATTAAATATAATAAATAAAGAGAGCTATTTTACAACAGAAATTAAGATCCTGTGTAACCTTGGCACGTGGCGACAATTCAACTTTATGAGTTTAAGCACCTGGTCTCTAAATTTCAACATTTCATAATTTTTCAAAGCACTTTTCCGAAGTTCATAAAAATGCACTTTTTGTCAATATTTGTATTATGATTGTAATAATAACAATCAATCACCGTATGAGAATCCAATATATATTTCAGAAACAAATTGCTGTTTTATTGATATCGCTTATTTACAGTCATTTTTTTTTATAGAGATTTTTTTTATAGATGACCATAACATGTTTTTAAAGCATTTAAGCGAAAGGAAGCTATGCAATAAATAAAATAAAATTACCGGATTACTTTGAAACAGGAAACTCAATATTTTGATTTTATTGTTTTCGATAAAGTTATTTGAAATAATTCAATCAAATCATTGACTTTTTAAGAAAACTTTTTAGCCTACTCATGGAAAATTGCAGCATTGCGCCAATCTAGATTTGATTTTTCTTAAGTCGCACAGAAGAACTAAATGATTAAGAATTTAGCTGAAAACTAGGAATTTTAAAAGGACCATTTTGCGCTATTTAAATCATAATTTGCTAAAAGTATTAAAAAAGTAGCCTTGAAACCATTGAACTTTAACAAGTTCGAACGCTGACTTAACGGGCCCCGCCGGGACGAAATGCATTGTGGGCCCGATTCCAAAGTCGATCGCTCCGAAGTCTTAAACTTTCAGATTTGGTGAGCTTGTTGAAAGAGTCCCTTTTCAAAACAGTAGTTTAAACCTCCATTTTCAGAATTTTATAAGGCAATCAAACCAGTTTTGATTGTTACAAGTGATTTGACGCTCACTAGTGATTCCATGGATTTCAATTGCATTTTTTTTACTCGAATGTTACTGTGCGATTAATCCCTGATCTCTCTCTCTCTCTTATACTCTACTCTTATACTCATATACTCTTTTAACTTAGTTTTTCACAATCATTCTAAAACTATGCATTAAAGGTGGTCATTAAGATCTGACATGAATGATAATTTCGTTCAGAATCGCTTTCAGTGCTAACTAGAAAAAAAAAACAAATCAATTAATTAAATAAAAAATCAATTTTGAAAAAGCGTTTTGAGATTATTATAACCCAAGAAACCTCTGATTTGAAAGCTTCTTGAGAGGTGAAAAACTTTTTTATAAACTCGTAGCAATTTTTTTACATTGAACAAAACAAAGTTACTTATAGTATATGTAAAATATCTTTTTATTTTAGTGCTATATTTTTTACAGAAATTAATAAACACATTTAGAATTTTTTTTTTCCTTTGACTCTGTATGAAGAAGAAGAAAAAAATGCGATTGCATGACTAAGTGGTGGAAATGTCAGTCATTATAATGAGAAAGTCTGTTTAGTAAGTAAAAGATGTACAAATAAGATAACACACATTCGGAAGATAACTGTGTGAAACGTTTAACGGTTTGTTACGCTGTTGGTGTGAAAATTTGCATGAAATATCACCTCACACTAACAGCTGCAAACACATATCCAGGGTGGCTTAAAGAACTATTATATCTATTTTTGGTTTGATTTCGGTTTTTCAAAATCTTAAAAAAAGAACTTGCTATTCTATACATGCGATAAAGTTATCAGTATAACGTTGAGAAAAAATAAGTCATGACAATAAAAATAATAGTATAATTCACTTAGCAGTAAAATTATATAAAATTAGTATTTTCAAACAAGGTTTTTAATTTCTACCAATATAATCATAAGCATAGATAACTTTATGAAAACGAGAAGCCTTCTTCCAATGGAAAAGAAATTCAGTCGAAAATTTAATGCCATATATTTGTAAAATTTAAGAAAATGAACTGATTGAAACTTTAGAATACAACATAAGTACAAAATAAAATTAATTCATTTATTATACTATCGTTAATTAAGTTATTGATTATGTGTATTACTATCATTAATTCATGATACTAAACTGTAGAAAACTTGGGTGCATAATTGCCACCATTTTCAGTGTTAAACCAAATACATTTTTAAGCACAGAACTGTAGTTATTGCGCAAAAAATCATTTAAAATTAACAAAATAACAATTGCTTGGAAGAATAAACGTAAATATATTACTGAAGATGTATTTGTTTTTTAAACGAAATATTTTTACAGCACAACCAATAAAATTGATTCTAATGCGCATGAAAATATGTGTTGTCAGTAAACAAACAAACAAAAAAGGCAGGAATAAATAAATAATTAAAACTATAACAGTGATAAAGTAAATAAAAAATGTGACTACATGCACTTCAAAAAAGTATAATTTACCTCAACACCAAAAATGCTGGCAACTATACATTAAATTATTTTACAGTGCCATTCCGTGCCATTCTGGAAAGCTTTTTTATCGCAACAAAATAAAAGTAATAAATAATAAAATCAATTTCAAAGACATATATCCAGAAGAACAGGAAAGCATGTAATATTATTGACAATTACATATATTTGCATCATTCTACACTAAGAAAAACTACCCGAATACTACCAGAATATGTTAAAATTTACCGTGTTTCTGTCTCTAGGGACAACAAAAAGCTCGGTACTTCTTACCGTATCGTTTTGGCATTAATTTTGGTAAAATTAACAATAAAATATGGTTTCCAAATATGTGAAAAAATTTCGACATTTTGGTGTAAAATTTGGTAATTTTATTTAGAGCATAACATAGAAATAGTTGTTTGGTTAAATGTACTTTTCTGCTTTTGATTTTTTACTAAGTGTACGCTAATAAGAACTATAATTTTGAAAATCAAAATTTCCGGTAAACCATTACCATCTGAATGGATAAATTTCCAAATGATTGGTTTATTACTAGAATTACGGTGTTTTTTTAACAAAATTGTTATTGCCTCCGAATTTTTCTTCTTCCATGTAGCAGTGTTGTGCAGGATATAAGTAAAATATATTTGAAATCGTAAAATAAATAGATAAATTTAATATGAATGAATGAAATAGCTGAACGTGTTTGACACTTTTCGAAAATTTGAATAAAAGGAAAGTAATTTCCAATAATATTGCAAGTGTGCCATAATAATACATAATAAATGATGCACTGAATAATAACACTTATCAATAGAGAATCTGGGAGATTTAAGAAGTTTTCGACAGCGTTATAATCTAACTGGGTAAATCCGAGATCATGTTGAATAATAACTAGATGATTTGTTTGTAAAATGAATGAAATCCTACGCCTCGGGGTATAGGTGAGATTATTTAGTTTTAAGATAGAATCTGCAGAGCTATACTAATTAGGAGGAAATAATTGTTTTTTAAAAGCTTGACAGTGACAAGGTTAGGAAAACAGCTTTTGTTTTAGATCATTCTTTTTTTTTCGAACAAAATTAGAAAAGTCTAACGAAAATAGGGTTAACAATTTCCTCGTTTTAAATTTCAGTAAATAACGCGGGACAAAAATATGACTTATGCAATTTCTATGAGAAAAATTAAATAATAGCAATTAGTATTTTTTTAGAACTTTTTTTTTATCAGCACTGTTACTTAGAGGAGAGCTCTACTCGAATTGTGCAGTTTTTCTGCTTTGAAGAAGAGTTTTTAATTTATTATTATTAGCGAGAATGTTTAATTTATCATTAAGCAAATGTGTATAAAACGCAAAAATATGATTGTCCTGTTTTCTTTGGTGGGTGGGAAAATAAGGGAAGGAGCTTATTCTGAAAAATAGCTTTTAAAACAAACGACTTTGTACGAGGCTCATTTTTAAAAGCATTTTCAACTTACAGCTATAGATATTTATTAAAATCGGAAGCATCATTCGATGCATCTCAAACTTACGAAATGTACCTCAAAACACATTTTTTAAATCCAAATAGTACCTTAATATGCCAGTGTCAGTCAGAATTAGTTAACAAATAATACTGTAGCATAAGAAAAGACAATTAATTATAAGATCAAACGCCCCTCCGAGGTCGTCTTCATTATATATATATGTATATATATATATATANATATATATATATATATATATATATATATATATATATATATATATTCCTTCTTAGAAGAGAGAGAGAGAATGTATTTCTAGTACTGTATGTTATTGACACGTAATTGACACTGTAAGCAATGGGGTCTCGTTTCGATCTAA